GTGTAGGCAGCCGCGACTCTACCTTAAGGGTGGACCTGGCCCAGAGCGGCAAACTAGTTCATTGAAGGGCAGCGTGCCCAACCATTGAGCACTGTGTCTGGAATGCCAGCCCTGTTTTCCTTTCCGAACGCACTATAAACACTGACACTAATTTCTAATAATGGCTTTCTGGTCTATATTCATACTCATCTCACTCTCCCAACATCCCCCAGCCACTACCCCAAATGCTGCAAAAGTTTGGCTTCACTACCAGGTAAATAAAATAAAGTACATCACTTGGAAAGTAACACTTTATTAAATACTGTGTCATTTTGTGACATTTACATTTATCATTATAAAATTAACTTCTCTGTGGTTAAAAAATAAAATAACCTCAAACCATTTGGCCCCTGATAGGTGGCCCTTGAAACTGAGTGACTCCTAGCCATGCTTCAGGACAGGCAGAACTGGGCTTCCTCTGCTAGCAAATCCCTCGAATTAGGTGCAGTGTTGACTGGGTAAGAGGCTAGTTTGGTCTGTCACTACTGCTTGAAGCAGGCAAATGTAGGAGCTTCAGGGCCACAAGCTGAAGGAAAGTACTCCCTCCAGCAGTTTCTTGTGTCAGAGGTGGAGAGTAAAGGGCAGCCTCTCCGCTGCCCACCTGCACTACAGATAAGTGAATGGTATGTCCATCAGAACCTTGACCACTGAGGTACCCTCTCCTGATCCAAGCAACCCACAAGGGCTCTAGCTAACCCTGTACTGCATCCCTGGTGGGTTTCTTTCTGGATACTGTTGTGGCTTTCCGGTTCTTTCCTAGGGCCAGGAGTATGAGATCTTGGCCTCCCCTGGACTAAAGAAGCAAGAGAAGACACCAAAAGCACTGTGGGCCCTCTAAAGCATATGCAACCCTCATGAGTAACTGGCCTGGCCCTAGGTTGTTGCTCATGCCTCCCTACCCAGAAGTGGCCCCTCGGCTGGCTGTAGAAAAGGACTTCGCACTGGAGTGGCACCACTGGTAACCCTCTCAACTGTCAACATCTACCCAACATCATAGGCTCTGGGACAGATGTAGGTCTGGCTTATAACTCTCAGGGTTCTGAGGGGCAGATATGATCTGTGATAGAATTAAGGCAAACCGGCCAAATGAAAACTCTAGGCCAAATTCCAACATTTTGGGACTTTGGAGCAATCTATGTGAAATATCAGCCCCACCTGGAGGTGAGTAGGGCGAGAAGATGCTGAAGGTATGGGATAGGACATTTCCATGAGAACTTCTAAATCAAAATCCTCAACCTACCACAGATTTAAGGCAGAGAGTGGCTGTAGATACGTGTGTGCTTTGACTAGAACCTTTGCCAAGGTCAAGGAGCTTTAGCTGCTCCTCATAAGTAGCTAGTGAAGACACAGAATAGGCTGTGATGGTCAGCGTATACAACACACATCCAGGATGCAGAAGCGGGCACGACAAGTAGGGCAGGGCACACGGCTGGCCAGCCAAGTGTCAGGGCGCTGGGGATCCTGGCGGCTGGCAAACCACTTGCCCATGCAAGTGAGACACCACATGGGACGGCAGTAACACTGCTGGCACTCGCCCACCGCTGGCTCCTGGCAAGTCTTCACCAGCTTCACACTGGCCCGTGTCTGCATGCAGCCTATGCAGGCCTCGAGCTCCTACAGAGAGGTAGTTGAACAAAACGGGTTACAAAAAGACCTACAAGATGGTTCTAGGAGAAGAGAGGGGAACCCCCCACACACACACTTTCCCACTTGGGCCAGCCCCCACCTGGTTGCTGGGCACTGAATAGGCTGGGTTGACCTCCACCAGCGACGCAAACGTTTCTAGGAAGAGGTCACCCAGGCTCTGGCGGATAACCACATTGGCTGCACTTCGGATTGGTGCATGGAGCTTCTCACATAGTTCACCATATTCTGCTGAGTTCAGCCTGGAAGAGGCATGGCTTGATGAGCTGAGCCAATCTGCCCATGGATCCACAACCTAAAACCACTCATAACCAAAAATAGGCAAGGCCAGGGAAAACAACCATCTCAGTGAAGTAGCCACTAAAGATGGCCCTGTAGGCAGAGTCTCCTCATCCCCAATAGAGGATAGGAAGACGCTGGAGCTGAGGTACCACCAATCTTCATTCCTAGGTGATCTCAAGAAGCTGGAGGGACAGCTCAATGAAAGGCAGAAGGAACAGCAAAGAGAACACTGAAGGCAAGAGGGGTCTTGCAGGAAGACGGCTCTAAAGGGGTCAACTGACTGAAGTCATATAGGCCCAGGAGTAGCTCAGTCCAGCTCCACTCTCAGCACCTCATAAGAGGTTCATGAAGAGCAGACAGTGAAAGTCTTGGCCATCCAGAACCACCACACACTTACCGAATATCAAAGGGCTGCATAGCGGGGCTGGTGCTGGCCACACGTATGGTAAGAAGCTGTACAGGTAGGTTTGAGTCTGGTGAGAGATCATGCTGCCGAGACTCTGTCACAGTCAAGTGAACATCCTGTTGCTGAGCCACACGCACACGGTATGTTGTCACCTTCATTACCCATGTGTCTGTCACAATCACTCTAGCACCGGGTGCCCCAGTAGCAAACTTGTCAATCCGCCGGAACTCCGTGTTGATGGAAGAGGCAACCGCTTGCCAACCTGACTGTGGAAGGGCATAGAGGGCCAGGGTTTGGGCCAGTGGGTGTCGAGTCCACTTGTCCCAGGACCAGTAGTAGATCAGGGTACAGGAGACAAGGGGAAGGGTCACGGCCAGGAGAAGGAAGAGCTGCCAGGCCTCTGAGGCCTGACCAGGGGAGTAGAGCTGCTTTTCTGAAGCTGCAAAGCACATGCCCATGTAGTAGCCTGCAGAAGAAAAGACATCTCAGGGCAAGCCCAGGCTGTGGGGTGCTACCTTCCTCCCATGGTGACCCATTTGAAGATCACAGTGTTAGCTCTGCGCTTGGGGGAAGGGAGAAACTACCTCTTTTTTATCGCCAGCCCTGAGTCTTGCCCTGGAACCTAGAGCATGGTTAGCTCCCAGAACATATCACCCTGACTCCTGCACCTCCACAGCTGGCCTGCCTCAGCCTTAGTGACAGCAGTGGTACCACATTCTAGAGGAACATGCTTGCAATCTACTACTACTATTTCACAGGAACTGCCAAGTAGGAAAAGAAAATCAAAGTTGCTAGGCAGTAGGGGCACATGCCTTTAATCCAAATACTTGGGAGGCATGACACGCGGATCTCTGTGAGTTTGAGGCCAGCCTGGTCTAAAGTGCTTGTTCTGGAACAGCCAGAGCTACACAAAGAAACCCTATCTCATAAAACAAAAACAAAAGTCCTAGAAAAAAGGACTGTGAGTTCGAGGTTAGTGTGGTCTACAAAGGGAGTTCCAGGACAGCCAGAGTTGTTACACAGAGAAACCCAGTCGGCAGAACCCCACCCCCCACACACACACAACAAAATAAATAAAAACCAAAGGAAACACATGACTGTGTAGAACTGACCACAGGCCTATCTAAGGCAGTTCTTTGGCCTACATCGTAGTCTCTTAATTTTGCATCCTCTGAGGAGGCAGATCCAACATAGCCCATTTCAGAGCTGGGACACTGTACAAGAAAGTAAGCAAGAAGAAAAAAGTAAGCAAGTACTCAATGATTGGGCATTTGTAAGAACAAAGGAACCAGTTTTAGGGCCCTGTTGGCCCAACAGGGAACAACTCAAACATGGAAAAGAATTATAAAGTAGATGGTAAGGTACTATATGGGCAGGCTCCAATCTGCCATAACCAACAGTAAATGTTGACTCTGAGCCACCTCACTACATGTCAAACTAACTTGTTATGGTTATACAGCAACAAAAGCCAGCTCCACTGTCTGCCTGTTCTCAATATAACTGCCATGGGTGACTTGTGCTTGCTAACATCCGGATCCTTGTTGGGACATGGGAGTGCCTACGAGATGAGCATAGCTAGGGCGCGTCCAAAAATCCACGAGACAGCCCTTGGTCAGGGGTCCTGCCTCAGAGCCCCACCTTCTGTATCTGCCTTACAGGGCACTAGGTTCTCAAGCTAAACAACTACCCGGCCATGCCAGCTCCATCTCCAGTTCTCCAATGGGGTAACCTAACGCACCTTCCTCTCAAAACAAGCCCAAGTGCTTCTATTACCACACCTGCCTCCACCTCCCCAGAGCCCAGGCTGCTGTATCCTCACACCAATCATTCCTGTGCCCAGAGCCACAAATATGTCAGGCCATCAGACATCAGTTCTCCCAGACCTGCCTTTCCGTGTCCCTGTATCCTCCAGAGGTCTCCTTCATCTGGTTCCTAGCCTCCAATCCCTGCTCTATCCCAGCAGTTCCCCTAACGCATCCTCCAAACAGCTGACGGATGGGCCTCTCAGAGTTCCCACTAGCCTGGCAAAGATGACTGCAACCAGTGTTCCCAACCTTGACGGTCTTCATCTCTGCCCGCTCTCGCCACGCCCACCTTTCCCTGGCGGCCCTCCGACTCCTGTTGTAAGGAGTCAACAGGAGCCCTTTCCTAGAAACCGCCCAACATGGCAAACACGCTGAACGATTCTGCACTCCATTCACAACGACGTAAAAGACCGGGGTCCGGCCCTGCCCGAGCATCCCTCGCAGACCAACCAGCGCCTGGGCCGTCGCCTCCCAACCAGGAAGAGCGCTCGGCTTACAGCCTGGGCTGCAGGGACCCCGATCGCTTGCACCTCCGTTGACGCGCATCTGTGCCGCTTCCGGCGGAGAACCTCCTCACTCTAAGAGTGCCCGGCTAAGCGCCATCCACTGGCCGACGCTCAGGAGGCTCACCCAGCGGCAGCAGTGAGTGACACAGAAGCGTGGCGGAAGTGCGACGAAGGTGATAGGGCACGAAAGCGGCGTCCTCGCTGCCCAGCCAGCCCGACAACAGGTTCTGCACGGTGAGCCCGGCCGAGTAGAACTCGTTGGGCGTGAACACGAAGCACACGGCGAAGACCAGGTAGGCCAGAGTGAAGGTCACCTCTGGGCTGTCCATCGCGACACCGCTCACCGAGCCGGTAAGAGACAGGGGCGTCCAGTTCCGGACAGTTGGTAGGTTGTCGCCACCACCGCAAAGCCGCCCGCGAGGCACTCTGGGAGACGGAGTTCGAGTCAGGCCGCCCGAGGGGCATTCTGGGAGACTGAGACACGCCTGTCAAGGGGCCCGCAAAGCATTCTAGGAGATGGAGTCCCGCCTGAGTCTGCCCGTGAGGTCCTGTGGGGGACAGGTGACAATCTCCCCATAGAGTGACGCGAAGACCACTCTGGAAGACAGTTTCGTTAGGCCGCCCCGGGCACTCTGGGGAGACCCTCGGAACCCCGCGCCGACCCACAAATCGTGAGCCACCCAGAGACCCCCCGCATGGGTGCATCCTCTCCCTTATAAGCAGCTCGGAGAAGACACTGCAGCTGGTTCTATTTAATGGCTGAGAAAAGCCAAGCCAGGGCGAACTGCTGTCTGACCGCCTTCGCGGCCGACCCTGAGACTGTCGGGGCGATGATGGACACCACAATGTCCGGCTACCGACTAGCCGAATTGGCCTGCTGTGCTAACCTGTGGTTCCCACGCGCCCCGACGCTCCCACTGTGCCCTCAATCCCGGAAGCGGAACTGCCTGCGCGTGAAGGGCGGGACCAGGACGGCCTGATATTGGCCGCCCGCCTCTGTGGCGTTCTGGTCCTGCCGCGCGCTGATTGGCCGCGGAACGTCAACTCTCGGTATTTGAATCTGGGGCGGGCTCACTCAGCGGCCGTCGGTCACGGACTGCGAGAGTAGAGCCGGTTGGAATTCTTTCATCTCGGTTTCTCCAGCTCGGATTCCTAGCGTGGAGCAGGGACGCCGCTCCTCCCTTGCTGTGGGCGTCGGCGCGGGCCCTCAGCAGTACGCAGGTAAAGGGCGACTTCCCACGTCCCGCGGGCGAGGGGTGGGGATCAGCCCCGCGGATCTGGATTCCTACTGCCTGGGTTGTAGCTTTCTTCCGCAGCTTCGCACTCTCCTCTCTCTCTCTCTCTCTCGCTCTCTCTCTCTCTCTCTCGCTCTCTGTTGTTGTTGAGGGCCCACCCCGGCTCACCCCCAGCCCTCTTTTCTGGGCTAACGGATCCCTCAAGCTTCCTAGGCAGGACTGATGCCTGCGGGCTGCATTCCGGATTGGGTCTGCCAGTGATCTCGGTCTGACCCAGCTGACGTCCTCCAAAGAGGGCGCGCGTAACTATTTATCTCCTTAGGTTCCTGTTCTTGTCGAGTGTGTCGTGTATGAGACTTGCGTTTCGGAGCCAGGACATCGGCCCAGGTCTCTTTCTTCCACCTTTTCTGCAAAACTGTTCTATTGTCTGTCGTTCTGAACCCCCTGTCCCAGGGACAGTTTCTTGTTCCTCGGCCAGTGCCTTCGAGTCGGTCTGCTCCCTCTCCCACCCCACAATTACACCTGCACCAAGAAGACAGCAGAACCCAATTCTGACTTGTCAAGCTTTGTACCAAGAGCTCCCTCCAGGGGCTGGGGATATGACTCAGCCAGTAACACGCTTGTCAAACCTGAGTTGAGGTCCTCAGCACCCACCTAAAAATTGTGTGGCATGGCTGTACCTGCCTGTAATCCTAGCACTGGGCAGGCCGACTGGAGAATCTCTGAAGCTTACTGGCTAGACAGATAATCTTGCTGAATCAGTGAACTCCAGGTTCAGTTAGAGAATCCAATATGGTAGAGAGCAATTGAAGAAAACTCACGTCAACCTTTGGCCTCCTCTTTACACAACACTCCCCCCCAAAAAAAACAAATCCACAAAAATCCCATTCTAAGCAAAAACTGTACTTCCCACTTTCTCTTCTATAAGGTTCAGTGTGGCTGGCTTTATGTTGACCCATGTTTTCTAATAACCAGTTTTTCAGGCCAAAAATCCTGAACATTGCTCTTGATTTCGTTTCTCCTTACCCCATGTCCTATGCACCTTGCTGAGCAACCTAGACTACCTCTCTTTGACTCCAGGGACCTCTGGTTCTGTCCTTTTCCCTCCCATCTTTTCTCATGGGCTCCTAAAGCAGAGTCAGCAGCAACTTATCTTGGTGATGACCTCCCTCCCCAGGACCCCTCCTCACACTTCAACCAGAGAGCTCCCAGGGTTTCACCCCCAAGACCCTATACTCCTCTGCCTCTCCCTCCGCTTCCCAAGTGTTGGGATTAAACGCATGCACCACTACTGCTCGGCTTCTCTGGTTTTCTTAGAGCCAGGATTATATCCCCTAGTTCTTGCCCTACAGTGTAATACGTTAATGGAAGTCATTTTGAACACCTGGATCTCTTTCTTTCTCAACCTGAACTCTATTAGTAATTGACTCAGGAGATGCAGTATACCTGATACAAGGGACTCAGGCTTTCTCTGGCAGGTGACACCTACTTGAAGTACTAACTGTACCTGTGAAGGGTCTAGCTCTACCTGTTCAGGAAGGGGTACCTCCCTGATGTATTTATGGGGCATTTCTGTACATGTACTGCAGCATTATTGATTTCCTAAGGACTAAAATACATTCTGTTTAGCCAGGCCATGGTGGTGCACACCTTTATTCCCAGCTCTTGGGGGGCAGAAGCAGGCTGATCTCAGTGAGTTCGAGGCCAGTTTGGTCTACAAGAGCTAGTTGCAAGGACAGCCAGGACTGTTACACAGAGTAACTCTGTCTCAAAAAAACCAAAAATAAATAAATAAACTTTTTTTTTTCTTTTTCAGAATGAGTCTGCATATCTTAAATGACGAAAATGTCCCCAGTGAAAAAAGTTCAGAAAGCTGTGACTTCCTGTTTTCACAACCAGAACTTACCGGAAGATCCTCTGTTCTTTGTCTGTCACAGAAAGAAAATGTGCCACCCAAAAACCAGGCTAAAGCTGCCAAGGTAAATGGGGACTGTAAAGTAAGTACTTCAGGTGCTCTGGGGTTGGCTTTCTGAGCACCTTGGCTTGCATGGGAGGGCTTGTATCATGGAACATGTACACTCTCCTCAACCTTTCACTAGGTGACTTTTCAGACACCTCTTCGGGATCCACAGACGCGCAGGATCTTAAGTCCTAATGTGACCAACAAACTCGAGACTTGTTTTGCTCTGGATGGCGCTGTTGAATTAGAAAAGAATCAGTGTGTCTGCTTACAGGAAGAGAAGTAAGTGTTGACGCCATTAATGTCCTGTGAGTCTGTCCTCTCTGGGGTTCTTGCAGAAGCCTTCAGTCCTGTCGTAGCTAGACTTTTTCTCTGATCATGGCCCTAAGTGCAGAATCTGGCATAGTTAGTGGAGAACCAATGATCAGATGGTTGGACTGTTTTCATTCCATGCTGGAATCTCTATTTCTAGAACTAGATGGAATGACTAAATCTCATTTCCAGAAAAGTTTATAGTTTCCTTCCTATGGCGTTCTGCTCATCTCTCCCTTCTACTTGAAATCAGCACTTCCCTCCCACACTCAACAAACACTTGGAGAGAGCAGATAGAGCTCATAGACAGAGAAATTACTGTATGATCAACTAATTGAAGCTTGTGAGATGACTCCCTTGGTACTGTTTGCTACACAAGCATGAGGGCCCGAGTTCAGTCCTCAGTACCTACATTTTTAAAAGCCAGAACATGGGCTGGAAAGATGGCTCATTGGTTAAGAGCACTAGCTACTCTTCTAGAGGTCTTAGAGTTTAATTCCCAGCAACCACATAGTAGCTCGCAACCATCTGTAACGAGATCTGATGCCCTCTTCTGTTGTATGTGAAGACAGGATTCATGTATATAAAATACATAGATAAATAGATAAGTCTTTAAAAAAAAGCCCAGAACTATACACCTTTAACTCTAGCCCTAGTGAGGTGGACATAGGAGAATCTTTGGGGCTCTCTGGCCAAATCAGTGACCTCCAAGATATAAAGTGGAGAATGGTTGAGAAAGATACATCAAGTGTTGACTTCTGGCTGCTTAGGCACACGTACATACATATGTATAAATGTACATACACCACGCATGCACAATGTGCACACACATCAGCACGTAAACATTCACAAAAGAGGAACTAGTAAGAACAGATGTGGCTGAAAGGATGGGGAGAAGTTTTATCCATAGGTGCATTAGGCATTTTCCTGGCAGGAATCCTACTAAAATGACAAGCAGCTACTAAGGCTTTGCCTAGAAAGAAGGGTCTTGGAATTAGCACTTCGCCAATCTGGTACCAAGGACACGTTTTATCCAGGACAGGAGAGGTCTCTGGTATGATTTTGTTCTGTTTTTCTGATTCCCCTGTTTAAAATTTGTGTGTGTGTGTGTAAGCATGAGGAATAAAATGTCACTCCTGTGCTCTTTAGTGTCACGACCTTTCTCTGGGGTTGTATACATTTCAGTCCTATTAAATCACCCCTTATTCTGTTGTTTAAGTGTCTTTGTTAATTTACAGTTTCATTTTGTATTTTTCTGAAGTTCAGTCAGATGAGGTTGGTGTTTAAGTCAAACACTGTTGGTCTATAACAGCCTGAGAAACACAGAGCCGGCAGTTGGCACTTGGCTGCTATGAATGTAGCCTACTTTGAGGCCAAGGAAGTTTTTGTCTCTACCTATACTGCTGGGAGGGTAGCTCTGAGTAGCACCAGTTATGAGTGTCACTTATGAGCTTATTCTTGGTAGCCTAGGCATGCATGAATCATGTTGCCATTCATTAATTTTAAGATACTCTGGGGGAGGCCTGGCAGTGGTGGCGCACGCCTTTAATCCCAGCACTTGGGAGGCAGAGGCAGGTGGATCTCTGTGAGTTCGAGACCAGCCTGGTCTACAAGAGCTAGTTCCAGGACAGGCTCCAAAACCACAGAGAAACCCTGTCTCGAAAAACCAAAAAAAAAAAAAAAAAAAAAAAAGTTACTCTGGGGGGCTAGAGAGATGGCTTAGAGGTTAAGAGCACTGACTGTTCTTCCAGAGGTCCTGAGTTCAATTCCCAGCAACCACATGGTGGCTCACAACCATCTGTAATGAGATCTGGTGCCCTCTTCTGGCCTGCAGGGATACATGCAGGCAGGTGCTGTATACATAATTAATAAATAAATCTTTAAAAAAAATAAAAGAGGGCCGGGCGGTGGTGGCGCACGCCTTTAATCCCAGCACTTGGGAGGCAGAGGCAGGCGGATCTCTGTGAGTTCGAGACCAGCCTGGTCTACAGAGCTAGTTCCAGGACAGGCTCCAAAACCACAGAGAAACCCTGTCTCGAAAAACCAAAAAAAAAATAAAAATAAAAATAAAAGAGGGACAGAGGCAGTTTAAGTAGGAGTTTATTTAGCACAGAACAGTTCAGTTAGTAAAGCTAAGCAGGACACTCCAGACCTGATTTATACGGCCTCAGCCTGCCCCAGGAGTGTAGACAGCCGTGAGCCAGCAGCACGCACCCAGACCCTTTCCATTTGTGTTCATCTAGTTCTAAGAACTCAGTCCCACTGGCCCTCTTAGGCAGATGGGGCCACAGACCCAAGTCCTCAAGAAGAACCCACTGGCCAAATGTCATCCATTCAAGTCATGACTCCATAAGGCTAGAATTTGACTTCTCTGATGATACCACCAACACAAAGGTGTCTTCACCAAGGAGACTGGCAGAGAGACCTGGCCTCCAGCCTCTCCTGAAGAAATCAGAGTCCAGCCAGGAGCAGGCCCCCAAAGAAGCAGAAGAAAGAGATGGTGGGACTAGAGAGAGAGAGATGAATGTCCCCAGCCTGCTTTCTGGGGCTCTTACCACCTTAACTGGGAAAAATTGGATGACTCCAAGTATAATGACAAAAAGGCTAAGCTCCCAGAAAGTCCCAAGAACAGGTTGGCCTTGCCTGTGGCTGAGCAGCTGAGTGCTGGGCCTACAAACGTGGAGAACTCTCCAGGCCAGTATATCTGTGTGAGGGGTGTCAGAAGCCCTGGAACTGGAGTTACAGTCAGGTGTGAGCTGCCATGTGGGTGCAGGAATTGAACCTATGTCCTCTGGAAGAGCAGCCAGTGCTCTTAACCACTGAACCGTCTCTCTATCCCTGATGCTACTTCTTTATGTAGCCACCATACTACTTCCTTCATAGTCTCAAGACAAACAGGTTTCAGGTTTATCCAAAGCTGAAGCGGAACAGCTTCTTCCTTTCGCAAGACCATGGGAGAGGTGCTCCACAGTTGTCTTCCTGGAAGCACAACACATATTACAGCGTAACAAGCAGTGCAGGTAGTTCACCTCTAATCCTAGCACTGTAGCTGAGGAAGTCAGGTCGAGTTTGAACCAGACTCTTGTCTATGTGGTAAAACCATCTCGCCACAAAAAAAAAAAAAAGAAAGAAAAAGGGGGCTGGAGAGATGGCTCAGAGGTTAAGAGCACTGACTACTCTTCTGGAGGTCCTGAGTTCAATTCCCAGCAACCATGTGGTGCTCACAACCATCTGTAATGAGATCTGGTGCCCTCTTCTGGTCTGCAGCATATATGTAGGGAAAGCGCTGTATACATAATTAATAAATAAATCTTTAAAAAGAAAAAAGAAAAAGCATGGGCTACCACTCAGATGGAAGCTGATTGGTACCACAGCAAGCCGCTGGCCTTAGGTACTCCAGGAGGTAGCTATGACACCAGCAGCCAATGTTACTTCCAGAGAAACCTCATAACTTTTATGTATCTTTTAGCATAAGCAGCTTTTTAAGTGAACCAGCATAAGAGGGAAGTAAATAATAATTTAATACCAGAATAAGGAACATGAAGAAGACCAAGCTCTGATAACTCTTGTCTCTCCAGTCAGCTGCCGTTAGCCCCAGTGGATGATACACCTGTGGTTCAGTTGGCAGCCGAGATCCTAAAAGCAGAAGGTGAGGTCCAGGTATGTATGTGTGCACAGATAGATACTATCACCATTGTTACATACTGTGTAGAAAAAAATAACAGGGCATCAAGGTGTAGTGGCACATACTTTTAATCCCCGCACTTGGGAGGCAGAGGCAGGCAGAACTCTTGAGTTCTAGGCCAGCCTTGTCTACACAGTCTCTAGGACAGCCAGGTATACAGAGTGAGACCTTGTCTCAAAGAAAAAGGGGCTGGAGAGATGGCTCAGAGGTCCTGAGTTCAATTCCTAGCAACTACATGGTAGCTCACAATCATCTGTAATAAGATCCGGTGCCCTCTTCTAGTCTGTAGGCACACATACAGACAGAACACTGTATACATAATAAATCTTTAAAACAAAAACAAAATATCATGGCAGAGAAACCACTAGCAATCTTCTGGTGACAGGATGGGATACAACACTACTATTTCCCTTCCACTAGAGCTGCCTCCCCATCTGGGTTTATTATAAGGAGATTGGGTAAGGCAGAGCCTCCCACTCAGGACCTCACTGTACAAGGTGATGCTGACTTTCCCTCTAGGTGGGAATCTTGAATTCTTCAAGTACTTCAGCTTCCACAAGTTTTCTGGACAGTGAATTGGTAGCGCCTCCTGCTGAGCCAGTTCTGGAGCCTTCTCATCAGGGACCAGAGCCTACCATGGATGGCAAACTGTTGGCGCCTCCTGCTGAGCCAGTTCCGGAGCCTTCTCATCAGGGACCAGAGCCTATCTTGGACAGTGAGCTGGTGGCGCCTCCTGCTGAGCCAGTTCTGGAGCCTTCTCATCAGGGACCAGAGCCTACCATGGATGGCAAATTGATGGCGCCTCCTGCTGAGCCAGTTCCGGAGCCTTCTCATCAGGGACCAGAGCCTATCTTGGATGGCAAACTGTTGGCGCCTCCTGCTGAGCCAGTCCCGGAGCCTTCTCATCAGGGACCAGAGCCTATCTTGGACAGTGAGCTGGTGGCGCCTCCTGCTGAGCCAGTTCTGGAGCCTTCTCATCAGGGACCAGAACCTATCTTGGACCTAAAGGAAGAGAGCTTCAGAGACCCAGCAGAAGGTATGCAACCCTAAGGTGTCACCCAGTTTCCCATAAATCCTGTGGATATTTAACATTCCTGTAGTTTGCAGGTAGTTATTCCACAGGCTGTTTCTCTGACTAGTTCACATGCAAAGTTTTGTTCCTTCAAAAGATGAGATGTTGCTTTAGGGTTACTATTGCTGTGATGATACACTATGACCAGCCAGGCAGTGGTCAGTCATAATAACTTTAGTCCTAACACTTAGGAGGCAGAAGCAGGCAGAGTTCTGTGAGTTCAAGGCCAGCCTAGTCTACAGAGAAAGTTCCAAGACAGCCAGGGCTACGCAGAAGCCCTGCCTCATAAAAACAAAAACAAAACAAAACAAAAGAACACTTACTACTTTTCTTATAGAAGATCTGGGTTTGGTTCCCAGCACCCACGTGGTAGCTCACAACCACCTGAAACTCTAGTTCCAGGGAATCCAGTGTCCTCTTCTGACCTCCACAGGATCCTTTTTGTTTGTTTTGTTTTGATTTTTCCAGACAAAGTTCTCTGTAGCTTTGGATGTCCTGGAACTCACTCTGTAGACCAGGCTGGCCTCGAACTCTCAGAGTGCTGGGATTAAAGGCATACATCACCACTGCCTGGCATTTTTACTGAATTGTTTTGTTTTGTTTTTCTTTTGGTTTTCTCCATAGGCTTCTTTATGCATGATATTTACATAGCTCACGCAAGCAAACACATACACATAAAGTTAATCTAAAAAAAAAAAATTCACCAGGTGGTAGTGGCACATGCCTCTAATTCCAGCATTCAGGAGGCAGAGGCAGGCCAGTCTGCTTTACAAAGCAAGTTCCAGGATAGCCAGAGCTGTTATACAGAGAAACCTGTCTTGGAACCTGCCCCATCCCACCCCGCCAAAAAAAGAAGAGTGATCACACTCTGTTGAGTACTCGGGTGCACAGCCCTCGGTACCTGCAGTACTTGAGGGAAATGTCTACCATTATTTACCATTTCAGTTCTAGGTACTGGCGCTGAAGTAGATTACCTGGAGCAGTTTGGGACATCTTCGGTAGGTGCTTAGCACTTGATGGCAGCCCCAACTGAAACCTGTGACCCAGTCAGCTGAGGCCATTTATGCTTGGTGCCTGGAGCATCCTGCAGTTCCTTTATAGTGTCTGGTCATAGAGTCCTAACCCATGTGTCTCCCTCACTCCCAAATAATCCTAGACCCATGAGTGTGTGTTGTGGTTTCCTAGCCCCCTTTGCTGGCTCCTGGGGTTGTGTCTGTTAAAGCAATGGTGAATCTTGATGATTGTTCGTGTTCTTTCTCTCCTCCTCTCAGTTTAAGGAGTCAGCCTGGAGGAAGCAGTCTTTGTACTTGAAATTTGATCCCCTCCTGAAAGAAAGCCCTCAGCGGCCAATGCCAGTGGTCCCAGTGACAAATAGGTATGTCCCTCCTTTGAAGATGTTCATACAAGCTAGGCAGACTAGTGGCTGTTACTAAGTATATAACTGATTCAAAAATTCTAGAAAAGGGTTAACTGAACTAGAATAAGTAATGGGGGTGGACAAAGAGGACATAGATCAGATAATCCATGTTTTTTAATAAGGAGGGAGCTCTCCCATGCTCTCTTCACACAGGCCACCCAGAAGACACAAGCAAAACACAGTAGGGTACCAGAATGGGCCAGGTCCGATAGTATTTGTTTTTATGAGTGGAATTCTTGTTCCACAGTCATGCCTGTTCTTTGATGAATCCCCCATGACAGCTTGTACTATAAAAGCAGGTCTGAATGGTTGTGACAGAAGCCATAGGGCCTCTAAGTCTGACATTTATGGGAAAAATCCAGGCTAGTGTCTGCTACTTTGGAAAAAAATATAGTCAAAGTCATATTGAGAATTACCTGCTAAATCTAACACAAGACCCTTGAAACCAGAGAAGAAAAGATTTGCCACTTCTAACTAGGTATTCGCCCTGTGTGCTCTGAAGACATCCCAGTAAGGTATCTACCATGGCTGTGCAGCTTGCTATGAGAAATGAATCATGGCTCATAGGAAGAGTGAGGAGACAAGCAGGGGAAGGGGACATGAGCCAGTAACTCCAGGCCCGGTGCTACCTTCTAGCCTGTGTGTGCTTGTTTTTAGAGTAAGACCCAAACACAAAGCATGTTAAGACAGCACAACTGACTTTTATGCCCTATTCAATACTCATCATGAGGTGATCTTGCTGCCTGTTTGGTTTCAGTGAACAGGATGCAGATGAGCCTGGCTTGGGAAATCCAATAGAAGGCAAGCTTGTGGACTTAGATTTCTCAGGAGCTCCGGATGTTCCAGTAAGCACTTTATCATCATTGCAAATTTTGTGGTCTCAAAAGATGAATGAGATCTTGAGAGCCTATGTTTTACCCACACAGGTGCCAGGCCCACCCTTGTGTGTCCTTGAGCCTAAAGGCCTCCTTCTGACTGAGCCTTTTGAAGATGTGCTACAATACAGCCAGAAAGACCTAGACGCACTGGTAAGAAAAAGCTGATTACCGGGTAGTGGTGGTGCACGTCTTTAATCCCAGCACTTGGGAAGCAGAGGCAGATGGATCTCTGAGTTCGAGGCCAGCCTGGTCTACAAAGTGAGTTCCAGGGCAGCCAGAGCTAAACAGTGAAACCCTCTCTCTTAACTTAAGAAGAACAAGAAGAAGAAGAAAAAAAATTGGAGGCTGTTTTGGAGGAGTAGCTGAGAGCTAGGTACAGGTTATTCTAAGTGCAGTTTGTACTCTGACCAGATGCAGCTGCTTACAGGGATCTCCTACATCTTCTGTGTCTCAGAAATCAATGAATAGCCCCAGGACAGGCCTGAGGGTTCCACACTGAATTTAAGGTCTTTGATACCTGCTGAATACAGCCTAGTGGAATGTGGTTTTGGCGCCCTCTTGTGGCTATTTGGCTAACACACTAAGAGATACTCCCTGGGTACCTGTTGGGTTCCACCGCAGCAGGTTGCCTTCATTAACATGGCCAGCAGCCCTACTTCTTGGCTTTATGAATGGAGTTCCCATAGCTCAGTGGCATGACTCCAGAGACCTTGGATGTGAAGGAAACAATCCCTAGTAAGAAAGACACCCCACAGACTTGTGATTGTGGTCCACCTGCCAACCCAGGTATGTGGCTTCTAGGTGAATGCAACACAACAGGAGAACTTGGAGCTGAGGAGCAAGTATGAGGACCTCAACAGGAAGTACTTGGAGATGGGGTAAGACTGCGGCACCAGTGCTATGACTTAGTTCCACTTGCGTGATGAGCCACAGATACTCATCTTCTCTCCTTCTATAGGAAGATCATGGATGGGTTTGAGAAGATTGTGTACAAATCAATGGGTGAGTGCTAGCTGCATCCCTCCCTTTGTGTTCTGAGATAACAATATACCGCCCATTTCTTCTCCTAACCTGTGCTCTGGAGCCACTGAGGGTGAGGTTCAGTGAAGAGAGGACCCCATGTGAATGACGTTCACTGAACAGCTGGCAGCCAGAGCTCTAGTGAGGTGAGGAACAGACACAGTGCAGCTTGTCACACCATGCCCTGTCCTGCCTTCCCCTCCCCAGAGATGACTGCAAGTATCAGAGTGGAGATGGAGGTGTCCTGGTAGGGGTCTACGAAGCCGACAGTGGCCAGGACAGGTCTTCCTGTTCTCCTTCCCCTGAGACCCATAAAGCACATGAACCCTAAGTCTACCACACTGGCACCTGCTTCTTCCAGTCTTGCTAAACATCTTACCTTAAGCATCTCATTGCTAGGTCCTGGGCCAAGCTCCTCATGAGGCTGACATGGAAGAAGCAGACATGTTCTAGACCTGTCACATCCCAGAGAACATGAAAGGGGAAGGGGGACTGTTGTGTTATGGGACACGTAGTAGTGCTGCACCCTGCTCCTGGCTCCCCATCTCTCCTGCTGTTCTCTCACCCCTTGTTTTGGGGCTGTTTCTGGCATCCAGTATAGTAGCTGCTTCCTAATCCCAAATACTTAACTTTTTAAGAGGAGGCTGAGAAACAGAAGGAACTCGCAGAAGACAAAATCAAAAAGGTTCAAAAAGAGAGAGACCAACTTATTGCAGACCTGAACTCCATGGAAAAGTCTTTCTCTGACCTTTTCAAGAGGTTTGAGAAGCAGAAAGAAGTGATTGAAGGCTACCAGAAGGTGCGTTGTATCCCCTTTGATCCTTGTTTTACAGGGCATAGCCCATAAGAGTGGGGCCACGCCTTTAATCCCAGCACTAGAAAGACAGAGACAGGTGGATCTCTGTGAGTTCGAGTGCAAGGCACACTACACACGGCAGCAGCACAATCAGGTGGGATGTATGCAGCCTTGCTCCCCACTCACTCTCTGGGCTTCTCATACTCACAGTGAAAGCTGACTACTGAGGATCATGTAGCAAGTTCCAGGACAGCCAGAACTGCTACACAGAGAAACCCTGTCTTGAAAAACCAAAAACAAAAGGAGTGGGGCCATGAGCTGTGCTATTGTCCCTGATCCTGGCACCAGGCCAACGAAAAGTAGTTGATGTTCTATCAACAAGACAAACTGTATCCAGTAGGTTCTGGTGGAGAAGCACAGCCAGATCTGTGAAACACAGGTTTTGGCTGTTATGGAGCCTCAGAGGAGACTGAGGGTATCCCCCATTCAGTGGTAGTATGCCTGGAATACATGAGGCCCTTGGCTCAATCTCCAGCAGCACCACATGCATGCATGCTCACAACACACACACAACCTTGCAAGAAAAGGCAAACTGGGCCAGGGCAGTGGTGACACATGGCCTTTAATCCTAGCACTCAGGAAGCAAAGGCAGGCAGATCTCTTGAGTTCAAGACTTGCGTGGTCTACAGAGTGAGTTCTAAGACAGCCAAGACTACACAGAGAAACCCTGTCTCAAAAAACAAACAAAAATGTCAGGTGGTGGGCAAACTGGACTTTCCCCGTGGTGTCTATGGAGGAAACAAGTCATTTTGGGAGCCAGCTAACTCCTGCTACATGATCCTCAGTAGTCAGCTTTCACTGTGAGTATAAGAAGCCCGGAGAGTGAGTGGGGAGCAAGGCTGCATACATCCCACCTGATTGTGCTGCTGCCGTGTGTAGTGTGCCTTGCACTCCTAAGTAGAAACTGATGCCAGGTACTACTCTAGGGGTCAGACCCAGATGTTTGCACCTTGAAGATGGGATAGACGTAAACATACATCAAGAGGGTTTTTCTAAAGGGAAAATGCCAAGTTCTGTATCACTAATGTCCCCAAAAGCCTTAAGTCTGCCCCTTCCCCTGGGACTCCCTATATGCCCAGACTGGATAGGCCTGGCTCTTGATGGGACAGTGTACCATTAATGCTCTTGTCTGCTCATTCTCAAGAATGAAGACTCTCTGAAGAAATGTGTTGAGGAATACATAGCAAAGATTGAAAAGGAGGGCCAGAGGTACCAAGCACTGAAGGCCCATGCAGAAGAGAAGCTCAACCTGTGAGTACCAGATGCCCGTCTTGGGAGGGAGGCCTAGCTAACTTGTTACAGGGTCAGGCCTAACCTGTGTGTCTGTTTCTGCCCAAGGGCTAATGAGGAGATTGCCCAAGTGCATAGCAAGGCCCAAGCAGAGGCACTGGCCTTCCAGGCAAGCCTAAGAAAGGCACAGATGCAAATCCACTCACTGGAGAAGACTGTGGAACAGAAGGTAGGGCACAAACTCCAGGCCCTGCTCCGGAGTTGACTTTGATACAAGGATTGCCTGGCCATATCTTTTGTTTTGTTTTTTGTTTTTTTTATTTGTTTGTTTTTTGTTGTTGTTGTTTAATTATATCCCTACTAGCCATTTCTTTCAGTAAGTCCAGAGCCAGCCTTTTCCTTTCTAGTCTCTTTTCCTACTTGAGATGGGTGGGACCTTCCTAGCCAGGTGCCACTCCCTCTGAGACCCTACAGAAATCAGCCTTATCTTTTCTCCTTCAGACTAAAGAAAATGATGAACTGACCAGGATCTGTGATGACCTCATCTCTAAGATGGAGAAGATCTGACTGCAACCAGCCATCACCAACCCTCTGTCTGCCCATTTCTTTGTCTATCTGATTTGTCTTTTGTGTGTGGTCTTTAACCCCTATTCATTCCTAAGTTATATTACCTTGAAGAATAAAGTTTCTTAATTTCAAACTCAAAATCAACCCAGGTCCTGTTGTTTATAACAAGCTCACTTGCCTCTGTTTTTCCAGGTAGTTCAGCTTGGCTGAAAGTTTCTTTCTTTTCTTTTTTTTTTTTAATTATTTATTTATTTATTTATTATGTATACAATATTCTGTCTGTATGCCTGAAGGCCAGAAGGGGGCACCAGACCTCCCTGAAAGTATCTTTCTGCAGTCCTTATATAACATTGGTTCTCAACTTTGCTAATGCTGCAACCCTTTAATACAGTTCCTCATATTGTGGTGATCCCAAACTATAAAATTATTTTCATTGCTGCTACTTCTTTTTTTTTTATAAATAAATGTAAACTTTTTTTTTTTTGGTTTTTCAAGACAGGGTTTCTCTGTGGCTTTGGAGCCTGTCCTGGAACTAACTCGTGTAGACCAGGCTGGTCTCGAACTCACAGACATCCACCTGCCTCTGCCTCCCGAGTGCTGGGATTAAAGGCGTGCGCCACCACCGCCTGGCATAATGTAAACATTTTTTAAGGATTTATTTATTATGATTACAGTATATGTCTGTGTGCCAGAAGAGGGCACCAGATCTCATTACAGATGGTTGTGAGCCACCATGTGGTTGCTGGGAATTGCACTCAGAACCTCTGAGCCATCTCTCCAGCCCTCATTGCTACTTCATAACTGTAATTTTTGCTACTATTATGAATTGTATTGTAAATACTGTGTTTTCCGAGGGTCTTAGGTGGCCCCTGGGAAAGGGTCATCTGACCCCCAGGTTGAGAACCTCTGTTATGGAATCCTGGGGAGGGAGGTGGGGTTTAGTGAATCTGGTTAGTTCAGAGACTTCCTAAAGCTGTTGAGTTACTACCTGGAGATTCCCTGAAGAATAGAATGTTTTGCCTCCCTTTAGAACATTCTGTATCTTAAGAAGTTTCCCTCCAAGATGGAAAGTTACCTCTTGGGATAACTGGCTACACAAAGCCCAGTTCTGGCCTTAGACTAAAGAAAGCCATTACCTTACCTGTCAGCTATCCTGTTTCCCTGGCTGTGAGAAAACACCTCTTGAGCATGCTTATCAAGCATGGTGAGAAGCATGGCAGCATGCAGGCAGCCTTGGTGCTGGAGAAGGAGCATCCTGATCCTCAGATGGCAGGAGACTGTGCACCACACTGAGCGTAGCTTGAACATATGAGATCTCAAGCCCTCCATAGTGACACACTTCCTCCAAGTCCACACCTCCTAATAAAGTGCCACTGGGCCTTTCCTATTCAAACCTAAACCTCACACACCCTATCCTTGAGACCTTGGGAACAAAAGCCAAATAGACCTAAGTTTCTATATAAAACCAAAAGCTAAGCAGCCAGGGCTTGATGAGTTCACTGCTGAAGTGGCACAAGCGTATAGAAACACCAACATCTACATCTGTGCTGCTAAGGCAAACAGTCAAGACTCCATGGAGCAAGGAGCTCAAGCAGATGTCTCTGAAAAAGAATTGCTGTCTCAAGAGGGCAGTAGTAGCTCCCACTGGTTTCTAGCTTTCCACTACCCTGCAGATGAAGGAAGCTGTGGATCGTGCTACATCCGGACAGACACTTAAAAGCGCAGTGTCTAGAGCAGGGCAGTGGTGGTGGCACACACCTTTAATCCCAGCACTTGGGAGGTAGAGGCAGGTGGGTCTCTGAGTTCTAGGACAGGCTCCAAAGTGGACCATTTCAAATCAAGCAGCAACCAGGGTTAGCGCCTCAGACCCCTGTGTAGTGCAGGAGTGGGGCTGGGCACACAGCATGTGTTCAGCTTTAGAAAGCACAGGAATTCTGAACAGGCATTGGCCCAGCCTCTGGTCCTAAACACAGCTGTGACCTAGTCAGCCCCCAGAACCATCAAGTAGGCTGAGGGGATCTGGGTCCGACTGAGACTCAGTACTGTTCATGCTGTAGGGGCTAGTATACAGTATACTGGGATATGCCCACGCCTGTGGCTCATGCTGTAGGGGCTAGTATACAGTATACTGGGATATGCCCACGCCTGTGGCTCATGCTGTAGGGGCTAGTATACAGTATACTGGGATATGCCATGGCTCATGCTGTAGGGGCTAGTATACAGTATACTGGGATATGCCCACGCCTGTGGCTAAGCCTGAGGCAAAATGTTTCCTCTCAAAATGGAATGTGGGTCCCACCCAAAGAGAGACCCAGACCGAAGTGTCAGTCACTCCGGAAGTACACACCCCTCAACCAGGACCTGCTGTGGGGACTGCCTGCTAATCTGCAACTGGAGGCTGGAAGTCCTCAGGTAGCTACCACCAGGAGTTAAAGCCATCTGGGTGTGTTACCATAGAGATAAGTGGGGGCCTTTATGGAAAACAGACTCAAAAGCTCAGTAGCCTAGGCCTCCCAGAAAACCTAAGCTGAACCTATTTGGAGGCTAGTGTCTTGCTAAGGCAAAAGGTCAATAGAGCTAGATAGGCATTCCTGGGACAGACACCTGGCCAGCGTTGTGGGGCAGATATCCCTGGATCTTAGGCCTCTATGCTCAGCCCAATCTCTGAAATTCACTACCATGTTCTCCCAGATCCGTGACCTTCTGACGTCTCCTAGGACCATGCCACTACTCCTTGCCAAAGACCCATCCCATAGCAGCCCTACACAGATGGGACAAATACACTTTCACCTAGGGGTTCTTTATTTTTGTTGGTTTTCTGAGATGGGTTCTCCATAGCCCTGGCTGTCCTGGAACTAGCTCTTATAGACCAGGCTGGCCTCGAACTCACAGAAGTCTGCCTGCCTCTGCCACCCAAGTGCTGGGATTAAAGGCATGTGCCATCACTGCCCGGCCTTTTATTATCATTATTATTGTTATTATTAACATTTTTTCCCATTTATTTTACATACCAACTAGTTTCCCTTCCCTCCTCTCCTCCCCCGCCACACACACACCTAGGGGGTTCTTAATTGCTGAGCATGGCAGAACCTGCTCACTTCACAGACAAGGATGCTGAGGCCCAGAGAAACGGCACTTGCCAGCTGAAAAAGGCTAGCCAGATGCAGGACATGGCAGCACCTCTCTCACTTGACCAGCTACCCACAAGGAGGGCAGCAATATGGTGGCAAAGTTTTCCTGCTGCTTGGGGTACTGTTAAACGCCTCGAGAGGTAGAAGGCTGTAGCCAGGCCTTCTCACTGGCTCTGTCTGCCTGGCCTCTCCAGTCCTACTGAAAACTGCCCTATCTCCTGCTGGGGCCTCTTCCAGCCAAGCCAGAGTCTGTCCAGAGAAAGTCCTGTAGGGCAGCTGGAAGCATCAGGGTAGCCAGCCTGGCCTGGGGCCATGCTGAGGACACCGGCAGCCCAGCAGCAGCCTGGGCCGAGCCACTTTAGGACAAAGAAGCCTTGTATGGCTGAATGGGCATTTATCCTGGGGGTTGAAGGGAGCCCTGGCACTGGTCCTCCATGAGTAAACATGACCCTAGCTGGGCATACAGCAGCAAGGCCAGACTTCCGTAGCCCTGAGTCCCTTGACATTACACAGTGGGTGTTTGTGGGCCTCCTGCCAGGGCAGAACATGGGAACAGGGAATGCCCTAGAGGCAACTGGAAGGCAGCAGTGCACAGAAGTAAAACATCACAGAAACCCTTCCCACAGTGCCACAGCTCCCCCAGCGAGAAGTCCAACTCCACTGCTGAAGATGACATGTGAGTCTCCCTACACATGTATGTGCTGAAGCCCAAGTCCCTGACAGGATGGTATGGAACCCTAGTGATCTGTGAGGTCAGATCATGAGAGGAGAAAAGCCTGACAAGAGGAGTGTTAGCCTACCTGTGGCAGTGGCACATCTTTAATCCCAGCACTCGGGAGGCAGAGGCAGGCGGGTCTCTGTGAATTCGAGACCAGTCTGATCTACCGAGTAAATTTCCAGACAGCCAGAGCTAAAAAACGAGAACTTTTCTCAAACCACCTCCACTCTGCCTCCCCCCCACCAAAATAGTTGAGCTCTGCCATATGACCGTGGATAGCACAGGCCCAGGCAATTGCTTCCCCAGACGGTGAATGGGCTGTACCTAGCCTCTAGCCTGAGGGATCACTGTCCTATTTAAGTCCCCAACCCAACCCACGATGACTTTACTTTCACAGGCCTGGCAAAATAAGCCCATTCCTTTAATCGGTGGTCACAGGACAGGGTGGTGCTCTTGGAAGACTGAACCTCACCAGAAGAAGCCTAGTCACCTCTGGATTCCAAGACCACACAGTGAGTGGGCCCAAAATGCCTCCCTGGGTCAGACAAGATAGTTTAGAGAGGGTTAAGTGACCTCTGCAAGTGGATCTCCAAGCTGAGGATCATACCCACAGGATGGTGCCCTGCTCATCCACAACCCCAGCTCCCTTCAGCCTAGGATGAACCCCAAACACTCTGGACCCCTCACTAGTAAAGTCTCAGCTTCTAGAAGGCCCTTGGTCGTGTTTGTGCGCGACACCTACACCTAAATCCTGAACTCTCTCTTCTGAATCCATCTCTGCCTGAAGTGGGATAAATCTATGTCTCTTGTCTCTCTGGAGAAGGCCTCATAGAGGCAGAGCTTATAAGGTGGCCTCCCAGGAAATAGAAACACACTGGAATGGGTAGACTCACCTGTACATCTAAAATGGGCCCCGCCTTTCTGGGGTGTGCTCAAGGATAGATCACAAAATTGAGGTATGTCAACCCCCACGGTGGCCCTATGTATGTAGGGACAGGCACATCTGTGCTGATACTACTTAGTGGCCTCGTTCCCTGACCCCAGGGATCCCAAGCCTTGCTTGCATTTATCAGCCATCAAGCCAGGCAGCCTGCAGGGGGCACCATTGGACAGGCCTGAGTCCCTTATGTGGCCCATGGGTGCTTTCTCCACCAAGCCAGCCCCATACTTCCAGGCTCCTGCACCTGGGCCTCTAGCTGCATACCTTGAGGTGCTGAGGACCCTTCTGGCCCTCTCATCATACCTTGACCAGCCAGCTATAGCTCTGATCATGAATGCCCTCGCCAACTCACTCCTCTCCTCTATCGGGAGGAACCCCCTGCGAAGCCACAGCCAAGAGGTTCCAGGCCCTCAAGGGTAGGAACTAGTCATTGCATGCTGCAGGACAAGAGTCCACAGCAAAATGAAACTTTGCCCAGGACTCAGTGGTGAGCAGATGTGACTACTGC